ATAGTGCGGTCACTAGGATTCTTAATAAACGCGAGCTCACAGGTCGTTTGAAGAGATGGGTATTAGAATTTCAGCAGTTAGATTGCGAAATAGTACACAGAAAGGGAGCGCTGCACCACGTGCCGGACGCATTTTCGCGAGAATTTGAGGACGAGCTCGATGTTTACGCATTTGATAAGATACAGGATGCTTGGTATCTACAACGCGTGAAAGACATTCTTCGAAGACCGAAGAAATTCGAGAATTGGAGGGTTGAAAATAACATCCTGTATCGGTTCATGCGCGATCACTTGCTCGCTCCGATAACTAATCGCGAGGAATGCTGACGCATGGTGTTGCCGCGGGAATACCGGGAAAGGGTGTTGAGAGAAGCTCATTGCGAACCATTCTCCAGACACTTCAGCCGTGAAAAGATTTACGTTCGAATTGCTTGCGAGTATTACTGGTCAGTAGTGTAGTATGATGTGAGGACGTTCGTAGATGAGTGCTCTCAAAGTCTGAAGTACAAGGTAGTCCAGCAGGCGCCTCAAGGCCTAATGGGTAAACGCGTAGTAGAAAGACCATAGGCCGTGGTTGCGACTGATGTGGTAGAGCTTCCCTGTAGCAAAAATAGGTTTAAATACCTGGTGGTTTTTCAAGACTTATTTACCAAGTGGATCGAGTTAAAACCGCTACGTTCGGCGGACGGTCCTGCTCTTGTTGCCGCGCTTGAGGAGTTAATCCCGTTTAGGTGGGAAACTCTGGAATATGTCGTAAGTGATAATGCGAACGTATATAGGAGCAAAGTATTTCAAGGTAGGTACGGGAATACGGTATCGAACATGTATTTTGCCCTGCATATCATCGGCAAAGTGACCCGGTTGAGCGTGTAAATCGAACGCTAAAAACGATGATAGCGATGTTTGTAGATACCAATCATAGGAGCTGGGATAGGTACTTGCATGAATTTCGTCATACTATCAATACGGCGACTCAGGCGTCTACAAAGGTATCGCCGGCGTTTCTAAACTTTGATAGGGATCCGCGTCCGATAAAGAGTTTAAGGCGCGAGATTGAGGTAAAAGCCCCTATTGTTAAGATAGATACGAAAGCGTGAGAAGACAGACTATCACGTTTAAATGCGTTACGTGACGTGGTAGCTAAGCATATTGATGAAGCTCAGGAAAAGCAAAAGAAACACTACGATAAGGATAGGCGTCAGGTGCTTTTTCAGGTAGGTGATTTGGTTTTGCGCAAGGTGCATACGCTTTCGAGCGCAACGGATGGTAAAAATGCGAAACTCGATCCGAAATTCGACGGGCCGTTTGAAATTATTTCAGTGATTTCGCCCGAGATCTACGAGTTAGCGACAGACAGTAAACATCGTACTACTCGAGTGCATGTCTCTGAGATTAAGAGTTATGTGCCTCCGTGAAAGGTAAAGAAATAGGTTCATAGGATGATTCAGGTGTGATAATTTTTGTTTGTTTGTTTCTTTTTTCTTTTTAAGGTTTAACGAGTGCAGTGTCGAAAGTGATGATGGCTGAGTCCGGAGACTCGAGCCGCATCTCTCACATCGCCGAGGGCCAAGTACCTTCAGGCATCACGACCGCATTAGTAGATTCGCCGGAAGCTTTTGAGGTGATGGAGGTTGACCAGGCGTCGAGGTCCACCGCCCCGCTTTCGGGCTTAGGGCAGGCGGCCTCTTATGACGCCGACATTGCCTCTTGCATCTCGTAGTTAGCCAGGACGTCGGTTGGTGGAGGCGAGGACGGAAAGGCGAAGGAAATTCCTTTGCCGCCAACTTTGCCTTCACCTCCGACACCGTTTGCAGGCGATCAATGAGGGGTACGATTATTAACGGGTAATCGAAAGACAGGCTCGATAATCCGGCTCGCGGCGCCAACGCGTACCTGGGATGAAGCGGTACGCCGGAGCGCGGCGTTTAGGCTTACGACGCTTTGCATCCGCGAGGCATCAGAAAAGTCTAGGGTTATCGGCAAAAGGGGGAATTGTCTTTTCGCAGGCGGAATCAAGCAGCCAAGGCGAGAGATCGACAAACTCTCGAGCCGCCACGGCTGACTACCTCGCCGGTAGAGCAGCGAACAGGGGCCGAAGCACGAGGGCTTCGATTGGTAGAGGGAGCAGGAGACCCTCATTGTGAGGTGCCACCAACGGCATATTGGAGGTGGTGCTGAGCTCGAGCGACTCCGAGGAAGAGACAATACCGGTTCGCGAGCTACCTCGAGTAGCTTCCCAGCCACACGTCTACGCTCCTCTCCCATACAAGCCGTTTACGCATCAGAGGTCGGACCCCGCGTACCAGTTTGTTCACAGGGGTGGGCCCCCGCAATTCCCTCCAGCCGGTTATTTGGAGGATGAGCGGAAAAAGGAGGCTGAGGCTCGGCAAAATGCGGGAAAGAGGAAGTGCTCCATGCGTTTCAACCTCTCCGCATGCAATTTCGAGAGGCCGTCCTCCAGTCAGACGTTGACAACATCCCGGGCGGTGGAAGGAGCTGTTGTTGAGACGACAAGCTCTCTCCAGCCACCGGTTACTTCGGCGGCTGATAGAGGACGGACCTCGAGAATTGGTACGAGCACTGCTGCCGGAAATACGAAAGAGGACCCGGTAGCACCGGTCCGACCAGCCCTTAGGCCAGTACGATCCCTTCTAGGCGGCAAACCCGACCTCCTCCTCAGTGCCTCCTTGTTGGGTAGATGAGACAGGGTTTCGCCTGGTCCGAAATAGTTTTCTGCAGATTCGCTGCTTCAATTGCAGAACGAGGTTACATCCGAGGTCGGCCAGCAGGGAACCGCCTAATTCGCGTCCGGTATGCCGGAATTGTGGGCGACTCGGCGTCCTCGTCCATTACTGTCCGCGCTGCCGCGATACCTTTAGGGCGAACCAGGCGCGCAGGATGCTCGTGGAGGAGGGAAGAGCTCGGTAACACTCCAGTGATCCTGTAGAACTCCAGGCTTGGCGGTCAGAAACCGTGGAGCTGGAGTCAAGAGTCCCTAAGGCGATGCCAGAGATTGCCAGCCCCGAGTCTTCCGTCGGGGAGCCAAAGGCGAAGAAACCCCGACACAGCTGCGGTAAGAAGCACAAAGAGAGGCTCACGCGTAGAACACTTGCCGCAGATGGAAACCAAGCTGGAGCCAGTACGACCAGCACCGCGCTAGTAGATATCGCGGCGCGAACGGAACAGACGCCGGTATCCGCGAGTCTGCCGGGGGATCGTTACGCCAGGGTAACTGTGCCCGAGGCGGCTGAGGCAGTTAGCTATCCGGATTGAGCTCACCTCCACTTACAGTGGAAGGGCGCCGAGCGCTCAGGCTCCGGTATTTGGAGTCGCTTGGGCGACTCCAAATAATATATAAAATGATTATATCAACAATAGTGGTAAGTTCCTATTGTCCAGGTTAAGTTTTGGTTAAGTTGCGATCTTTGGGGCATCGTGGATTGGTAGATTCTCCGCGATGACGGGCTTGGTACTTCCATTTCACTTTTCGGGTAAAAAACCATAAACTTTTGCCCTTGGTCTATTTTGGTTGTTACCAACCTAGACTTAAGTTTAATTAAGCTATGTTTAAGTAGTTTATTGAGGTATGAGCATTTAACGTTGGTTGTCAGTTGTCAGTCGAGAGAGAGAGATTGTGAGAGTGGAGAATAGGCCGTTCGCAGGTGCGAACTTTGGACTGGAACGGGGTGTGACGAGTGCAAGCATTGCGCTTGTTCTCATCGGAATTTACCCAAATTCCCGTCTCTCTCGGCAAGGCACGGTGACCAGCGTTGAGCGCATTTAAGAATGCGTCTAACGCATGGTCTCTGCTTCAGCTGACGGAGATTGCCGAGCGGGGCTGAGCAGGCCCGAAGCTACTACGCTGGCGACAGAGAGTATAGAAATTTTAGAGAGAGAGAAATATTCGGGGGCGTGCGTGCCCTACGCAATATTAGGCAAGCGCGCGTTTCGAACCAATTAGTGCATTGGTCGCGCGCCGCCTAATAAGTAGGTCAAGTGGGGAGAGAAAAGATCGACGAAGAAGCTGTAGATCGCGAGAAAAGACGAGCGAGATAGACGGTAGTCACTCGAGGAGAGACTGAGAAGGTTTTCGGAGTCGATCGGAGTAAGACGGTGGATAGCCGGCGGTGAAAAAGTCAGAAGCGCCGCCGAGGACAAAGGGCCGAGAAGAAACCGAGAGGAGAAAACGACTTGGTCCTGCATCTACTCGGGACGCTACCTAGGAACCCGGCAGGAGATGCCCAGCGACGACCTGTAACACCGTGCGCAGGGCGCAGCCAGGACTCCATTTCCAGCATCAAAGGTCAAGTTTACAAATTAATCTCTCTCTCTTTCTCTATCTCTCTTCATCGACGGCACTGTGCATAATTTTTAATATTAGGTGGGTAGCAAGGCGTGCACACGCCGGCTACCTGCCCTAATGACGGTCGGGTAATAAATCACGCAAAGAGTAATCGTCCAGGCGATCCCTCGCCGGGCGACTTTCTCTTTTAGCTAAATAGCCTAAGTCGGTTTGTCGTCAAGGCGGTCATCTGCCGGGCGACTCGCGTTGTGTTTTGTATAGATTAGTAAGCGCAATAAGTTAGTTAATTTGTTCTTTTTGTAATAGGGGTTAAGAACGTCGTTGTGTTTATTAGGTTAAGAGTATGTGTAATGCGGTTTATCATTATGCGGTTTATTAATGTGCGGTATTTGCGACATCTGAGTGTAATGTGATCTTGAATTGATTGGAATTATATTTGTTTAAATGCGAATGTGTTATGTGTTATAATTTATTAACTATTTTTATTTCTTTGCCTCTTCCCCCTTCCCGCCTCAATTGCTATGAGCGAGTGCACCTCACTTGCCCACCTTTAAATAATAGTTATCGAACGAGCTTTCGTTACAATATAAAAATATACGAATAATAGTTTAAAAAATTATATTGAGTGCAGTTAAGAAGGATGTTATGTTAGGTAATATTACTAGGTACTTATGAGTATAATAATTATATCAAGTAACCTCTTTTCGAAGCGTGAAAACTGTCTTGAGGATTTATCTGTTCAATCTGTGCACTCAATCGTGACTTAGGTAAGATATCTCTGTTGCCATTTATTTTTTCAACCGCATATCTAAAAGCTACTTCTTGTTTACTATCTGATGAATGAAATAATCCTCCTGAAAATTTTATATAATGAATATTAGATAAAAGAGGGTTTCATAAAATTGAGTGGAAAATATTTTCAAAATTAGTTTTGGTTTTTTCCTTCAATTTTTATCGTGTATATACATCAGGAGTGACGGATCCTTAGTACGTAATTCGTTTTGGAATGGAGGTAATTGTAAGAACCAAAATAAAATAAACTAAATGGATATTGGGTAGAATTAAAGTTATTTCTACTCCCTAAATATTATTAGAGAAAAATTAAGATAACGCTTTTCTTATTGTAACAATAGGCACTGTTTTGATTCTTGACTGCCGACTCGCATTCTGTGCTGTGGTATATGTATCCTTTATTTCTGTAGCCCTTGTACGTATTAATAATTTAAAAGGAGGCTTATTAATCTGACCAAAAGTTTACACGAGGCTTCGGCACGTGATTTGTGATTCCATATAAATCAGGCTTATAACATGTCACGTCGTTACCGAAGTCTGATAAATCACCTATTATACATTTAAAATATGCAAATTTAATTTATAAATTCAACTTTCGCTAAAAATATTCGCTATTGTAAATAAGAAATTGCATTAATTATTATAAAAATTTACGTATGACTCGTGTAAAATATTAAAATCATAAAAATCGAACTAAGTATGATATAGTACAAATAATTATTGTAATAGACACGAACTATTAACAAAACATTATTATTGTTATTATTTAATTGGATACCGCTCCGTTATCGTAAGACGCATAATGACAAAATATTAACACTATGAGGAAAATGACTTCGATAGCATCGCATTAAGTATTTTATATCAATCTCTACAGTTTGCAATCTTTGAAATAATAAATAAGAATTACTCCAGTTTTTAATAAATTGTAGCAATTACCAATTATGATTGGCCGTATGTCTACGAATTTCTACCCTTACTATAAGGAATACTGGCCTTAACAGCATCGAACCATTAATTCAAAGTTCTTCTCTACCTTGAATCATTTATTATTTCAATTATTAGTAAGATTAGCAATAAACATATTTTAAGAAAATTTTGAAAGACCTTAAGATTTTTGCATAGATTTGTTTTGATTGTGTTTATTGTCTAGCCACTTATATTTGTGATCTAGTCGCTCTTATTTGCAAGCTAGTCGCTCATATGAGTAACGTCATGCTTCGTATATTTCCATATTTGTGACGTAATGACTGATCACTGCCAGGATTGAATTCATGCTAATCTCAACCGCAAAAATAGTCTAGAATCGTTACAGAAAATAGCAAAAAGAAGTGCTGTGTTTCTACTGTGTCTCGAATGTTTGACTCGGTGAAAGACGCTATCACAATCTATGAAGATACCGGCAACATAAAAAGCTGAAGCAAATTGTATAATTTAGAAATATATAATCCATAATATCTCCGAAACCACGGTCTATCGTCTTCGATAGAAAACAACCATGAAAGGAAGAACCGACCATTATTGTACAAAATAATAAAATATGCGATATGATTTTACAGTAAATTGTGCGATGAATAGAAGTTCTATAAAAAATTTCATACTAATACTAACTTAAATATTTGTTCTATCCAGATTGAAGCTAGAATTACATAAACTGTGGTCGAATGATCGGAGTCAGATGACTGAGAGCGTTTTACACTGTACGTTGTAATGTATGCATATGTTTGTATATTTAACCTTTTTCCTGGTTGAAGAGTTGCAGCTATGGTGCAGACAAACGAAATTCACTAAAGGGTCCTGACCGTCGCTGAATTCGAATCCGATGTCAAATTTCCAATATTTAAGATGGCGGATCCAATACAACGGATAACAAATCAACAAATTTAAGATTTTAAAAAATACTATCGTATTTTACGTGAAAAAAAATTGTTTCTAGCAATTATTTGATTAGTCGCATAAGTGGGAAGAAATAAATATGAATGAAATATCAGTTTACATTGGGATACTCATTTTAATTGGTATCCATCAACTGTCAAGGGTAGAAAACTATTGGAGTTCAAATCCATTTCTTAGATTTTTCAGTTTGCTATCCGTTATATTGAATCCGCCATCTTGAATTTTTGAAAATCTGATACCGAATTTGGATTCAGCGATGGTCGGGACTCTTTAAAGTAAAGAATTCCGCATAAATCTTACGAAAATTGGCTATGGGCTACATTTCTTAAAATTTTACACAGAAATAGCTAGCAACATACTGATTAAAAGTCTCAATGAGCACAACTTCCATAATCAAACCCCGACCTTCTACGACCCCCCAAACCCCAAAAAATTATTGTTACGAGTATTTCGTGATATAGGTTCAATTCTTCTTTATAGCATTCTCATTCTCCGCCTACCCCTTTTCCAAGCCCTATTTTACTCTTCTACTGTCACTTCCAATAAGTCCTCCCCCCCAAACTTCTCAACTTATCTGTTACCCTCTACTCACCCTTTTATTAAATAAGTCTTATCCTATAAATCTTTATTCGTTATTTATTCTACATCCGAGACCCCGTTACCTATTGATCATATTTTTGTTGTTATTTTCTTTAAATGTTTTCCATTTCATTTATTACAATTATTTCTTGATTTTGCCGATTTGCAGCATCCAGTATTAAATTCAATAATGAGCTGTCAGGGTATTTAATATTTTATTCATGTTGCGCATAACATAGGTACCACAAAACACTAGCAATATGTGCATATATTCCTGCTCCATCATTTCCTGCTTCTTCCTCATCATCAGCTTTGTAAAATGTAAAAAGTTGATGCTTAGTTGCATTACGGAATCTCGAGTACAAATGAATTCGTATGAATCCAGGATCATCGATGTTAACGTCCATCTGAAATTGCTCATCATTTTTTTTTACTATTTTGTCTCGAATATTGAAAGGAGAAAAGCCAATATAATTGATAAGTACTTATGGTAAGATCTCGTAAATAATCTAAATCAAGGAGATTAACCCTTATCTGCGCGCGGATATCCGAGTATCCACCGCGTTACATTTTTGTGGATATTTTTTTCAAAAGATTTTTTTATGATTTGAGGCTTCAAATTCTCTTAATTTAACTTTTTGCAAATCTATTTCATTCATTAGATATATCAAAAACATTTTTTTTATTATAAAAAAAGAGGTTTGAAATGTTGTTGCTCTTTGGGTGCACCCGGGTACCCACTGTATAAGGATAAGATTCAATTCATTGAAAACTAGTTTTATTGTTGATGAATGTTATTAATAAATGATGTAAGGACATAAAAAGAGAAAATAAACAAATAATTCACAGTGATTTTGAGGTTGTTCTGAACATAATAACGATATTTATTTGTTACATTCACAGCATGTTACATTAGTGACAGAGTGTTCATCGCATACAAGTTGTTCGCATTTTATACAAGACTTTCGGGTTTTTCTGTAGCATACATGATATGATCCGATTACTTTTTTTCAACCAGACCTATCTTGAGGCTCATCGTCTCTCAGTGCAGCTTCAAGAATTGTGCGTTGCAGTCCGAGCAAAGCTTCAACTGTGACCTTCGTCGAGTGGTTGCGCATCACTTAATCATTTGTAAAACGCTCTTCAATCAAAGGTCTTGTCAATTCTTCACTCAAATGACAGAAAAATATATGCCTTTGGTTTGTTTTATTTTATCATGTTATTATTTTCATAATAAAGTATGTAAGCTTCAAGAGCAGCAACGTCTAATATGTTGAAAAACATAGCTAGAGGCCACCTTTGATTCCGCCTCTGTGTACTATATCTACCCACCATTAGATCCATAGTATCGACACCAGCTTTGTATCTATTATAATCACATGATATCAGGCTTCTTTTTTTCATCGTTGGTTACAGCATCATCATTATGCATCGATGAAAACATAATTACGGCCTTATTTTTCTTCGACACGTAAGAGTACAATGTAATTTTATTATTATGAAAAGCGAAAAGAGAAGAATACTCTGGCCTAGATTTATTTGCTTTGAATTGTATTGGAATGTAAGGTTTATTTTTTCTCAAAGTGCCAATAAATGTTAAACCTTCTGATAATAAATATTAAGCAAGGAGCAGAGTGGTAAAATAATTATCCAAAATAATATTACGACCGTTGCCTCGGTATGGCTCTACAAGTTCTTTCTTTACTCTCTCTTCTTGATTTTTTTTGCGAACATTGCCGACTTTACCAGTGTAGAGAATTCCAAATAACGAATAAGCATTTTCTGCGTCGTAAATCTACCAAATCTTGATACCCTATTTTGCCGGCTTCAACGGAATATACTGCCTAAATTTAGTATGCCCGCGATAAGAACAAATTAGTTACATTAGATATTAGATACAAACAAATTAGTATGCCTAAAAACGCATAAATTTCTGATGCAGTCACGGGTCACCAGGACCTCAACAAATTGGGATTTTTTTCGTTATATTTTTGATAGACGTTTTTTACTTTTTGGTTAGTATAACGAACTATCATATCAGTCATTTCAGCAGTCATAATTTGTTTGAATCTATCTGCCATCGATTGAGTAGCGGTAGACGCATAAGGGCCGCTCTTTTGACGAAACTTATCGTAAGAAGGAGTTTGACGGAAAATAGGCACAGTCTTTTTCCACACGGTCTTGTCCTTTGCTATATACTCACTGGCATTTTCTATACCTGCTGCTTAAACCCCAGCTGACGTACCTGCGGCCCCACCTTCCGATTCACTTTCTTTGGAGTCACTGGTACTCTTTCACTCCCCTTCAGACCCCTCGCTGTCAGTTGTTGCATCTGTGCCTGAATCTCGTGTTAGCGCGTCGCTTGGTAATAAGTCTTCGTCTTCACTCCTTCTTCAAGTCCTGATGAGTCGTCGCCTTATCCAAGCACTTTGTCTAAATATTCTTTCTTTTTAGCACGAGACAATCTAAATTTATAAACAAAAAATATAGGTTTGAAGTTAGAAACTATGATAAGAATCTGAGAAGATACATGCAAGATGCTTGATAAAATAACACTTACCTTTGAAACTCAGCACGTAATAATTCC